AAATAGGGTAATAAGATAATATAATCTAGAAAAATTATTTCATTCAAAAATCAATTTTTTTTTTTTTTTTAGGTGATAGTGTACATGTGGATAGTAAAAGAATTATTTGATACTCTTCTGATTAAATTTTTAATGAGTTTTATAGAAAATATTGTTTGAAAAAAAAAAATTAACCTATTGTTTTTATATTTTGATGAAGAATTATCTTATTTGAATAATTAATAAGAATATGAAATTCATGACTGTGAAAAACCCTTGTATTTTTTGTATTAGATTAGTTGAAAAATATTGTTGTTAATTTGGCAGTAGTTTATCTTATATTATATATCTTCTAATGAAATATGATATGTATTGAGTATCCCATATTGGATATGATTTTGGGACTTTCTTACCTTACAGGGATGAAGTGTTACTTCACTTACAACCAATTGTTTTTAAGTTAGAAATTCGAATCCCCGTCTTAACAACATGGAAACAACTCGCTATAAAGCTGGCAAAAACTTACCCGACACGAGAATCCGACACGACCCGACATGAAATAATTGAGTTTGAGTCAAAAATTTCAACCCAATTATATGGGTTGACACGAACCCGACACGATAATAAACTGGTTGGGTTAGGGTTGAGGTTCTCAACTCGAACCCGACACGACAATCCAATTATAATATATTAATATTGATTAATATATTTATTATATATATAAAATAATCATAATTTAATAATTTTTTCATAAATTAATTTAAACTAAGTTAAATTTTAAATAATTTAACCTAATTTATGCTCAAATCAATAAAAACTAACATAACACGACAACAAAATAAAAAATTATTTAATTTGAATCAAAAAATTACTTAATTATGTATACGGGTCAACACGAGTCAACCCGAACCTGACACGATAATAAACGAGTTAACACGAACCCGACACGATAATAAACAGGTCAGATTAGGGTTGATAATTTAACCCGTTTAAAGTATTCAACCCGACACAAACCCGACACGAATCGACCCATTTCTGGCTCAACTTAGTAGAATGCGTATTTTAGTGTTACCGGCAGTTTTACAGATCCACTTAACTTTTTTCCAACATCTATGTTGGCAAGTTATTTAATTTATAAAAAAGATACACAAAGATTTATACAAAGAAAATTTTTGTATGGATATTCTACTGTCTCAACTTTGTTACGGAATTGGACCGTAAAAATAAAATAAGAAAAGGGTAAACTTGTTTTTAGTCTCGTAATTGGACTCTCTTATATTTTATTCCCGTAAGTAGAGCCTTGTCGCAAACTAGTTCCAAAAGTGAAAATTTTTTGCTGATTATTTTAGTCCCGTAAGTAGAGTCTGTCGCAAACTAGTCCCAAAAGTGAAATTTTTTTGCTTTTTTAGTCCTCCGGCGCCGGAGACGCCCGCGTGGCTTGCCGGAGGCTACGTGTCCGCCAAGTCAGCGACACCTGGCGGATACATGAATTTTATTATTTTTTAAAATTGATTTTAAGTTGATTTTAAATTTTATTCGCCTTTTTTAATTTTTTTATTTTGTCCAATTAAAAAAAAAGTAAAACAATTAAAAAAAATAAAATTCACATGTCCTCCCGGTGTCGCTGGCGAGATACCTTGCGGACACGTGGCTTCCTGCGAGTCACGCGGGCTTCTCCGGCGCCGGAGGACTAAAATAACGAAAATTTTTCACTTATGAAACTAGTTTACGACAGACTCCACTTACATAAAAAAAATTTTCCCACGTTATTTTTCATAAAAAAAAAAAAAAAAAAAAAAAAAAAAAAGAGAGAAATGGTGGTAAACTTTGAGAAAGCACACCTGGGATTCCTATTTGTTAGGATTTTTTGTACGCAATAAAAAGTACATAAATATATATCTTTTACAAAAGTCACTCCATAACAAAAAAATGGGGTACAAATTTCTCTTGTCTATCAAATAAACTTTTCATTACAATGACAAAAATATGGCCATTATAGTATTTAATTTGTTACCGAACAAAATTTGTTCTAGATATGTAGAACCAATTATTTTCATTATAAATTACAAAATCTTTGATCAAACCTTAAAAATAAGGCCAAACCGAAAACGCTCTATGACAACCGATGTCTAAGAGCAGCCCAAAAAAAGACACATTTCGATATCCCGCCCACGAATTACAATAGACCAAACATGCACCAAACATCTAAATAAATCAATTCGCAATATAATTAGTAATACAAAATATTCCAATCCAGTGCAATATTCAATCAAAATAGCAATCACGAAAATGACCGAGGACAAACATGCTTATATGCTTGTACCCCCACTCAATCGGATCGAGGAGGAGTGCATAATGAAGGGTCTGCGCTTCAGCAATCACATAAAAATGTTTATGAACACTTGCTCGATATCTTGCGACTAACATAAAAATGTTCACTAGCAAAGCCACTCTTTCCCTAAACCCTAGAGTATTTTGAATATTTCTAGAGAGTTAGAATAATGAGAACTCATTTAAATGCGTTGTAATAGCCACAATCCTCTCAAGTACTTCGAAAACAAGGTCATGTATGTGAAGGGAAATCACTATGGAAATTTAAAATGTGCGAGTGACACATAGGTAGGAGTGAATATATTTAAACTCATAAAATACAACAAAATTGAATATAGAACTTCACATGCCGAGCAAAGTATTCTCAATAGATTCTACCAAAAAAAAAAAAAAAAAACATTTTCAGCATATAAATGAAGTAAAAACGTACAATTATCGACTTTGGGTTTATATATTGTATGAGATATATATTTGTGATATGTAAAGATTTACACATGATCTTTCATCCGTTAGTTTAATTAATTAAGTAAAAATTCACAACTCTCAGCATTGGTTTATAAATTTTATAAAACAGACTATATATATATATATAAAGCTTTAAACAAGATCTTTAATTTCATTAATATCATGGAGAAAATGTTTTGCAGGTTAGGACTTCAATTAAATATGGGATTTTATTAAGTCAAATATGCTTAGTTGCAATAAGAGCATGTAAAATTTATTATTCACCCAATTAATTTTAATAGATAAGGAGTTTTGTGTATTGTTTTACGATACGCATATAAGACTTCACCGTTATATTTAGATCGAGTCATCGAGTAATATAATTAATACTTTTTTTCTAAAGCAGATACAGTCTAATGAAAATGAAATTCACTATATATATATATATATTAGTATTATGTGGCTACCCAATTTTTGTTCTTATTCCTACAATCAAATTCTAAACACTTAATATTACATTCATAATTATAGTATGATTGTGAGATGATGGAGAAATTATATAGAAATTGTTATTTAGATTGTTAGTTTATTTAAATGAGTGTTTATTTTAAGTATGTTGCCTTAGCGGGCTAGAAGAATTGGTGGTGAATATTATGTAAGTTTGCTGGATGTGGGAGTAACATTTTGTCTCGAATCTTTCAATATATATATTATGATATGCTTATATTACTTATTTAAAATCAATTTATGTAAATGATGTCAATAAATACAATGTTTTTTTTTGGATAAAAAAATTATTAGTTGGAAAGCAAATTTTGTTGATAAATATGAAAAATTTAACTGTAATTCACTTCTTACTATAAAATAATAATTAACGAGAAGAGAAATATTTTGTACATCCTTTTATTGTTTTGGATTATAAATAAATAAAATCCAAACCTAAATATCTCGATTGTCAAAGCTATTGAACGAATTAATTGTAATGTATTTATCGAGTTTGTTAGATCTCAAATATATCAATAACTGATCCGACGTACATAATGATCATACCGATCATAATTTATTACAACAAACATATCCTAGGAATCTCGACTTTTATATCAACAATCTATATGAAAACTTTTTTGTTTGTTTGTTTTAATTGACAAACACCTCAAAATTATCATATCGATCGTAATTTATTACAACAAATGTATAGTATGAATCTCAAATTTTTTATCAACAATCTATGAAAAAACCTTTATTTTTTTCTTTTTGTTCAATCTATAAGAAAATTTGTGTTTATAGTTACGATTTAATGTCTTTTTCATTTTAAAATTCTTAAAGTGAAACTAATAGTTACATATAATATTTTAAATATAATAAGTTTAACATAAAATATTATGTATATATATATATATAAGGAAAAAGCATTTGTAGAGTTTGTACTGTGAATAAGTTTCAAAATGTAAATAATAATAATAATAATGGAAAAGCAGAAACATAAATAAGAATGGGGTTTTCTTTTCTTTTCTTTTTTTTTTTTTTGTAATAATGATGTTTCAAAAGTCTGGCAAAGTATGTACTAAATGTAATACGCCATTGTAGTTACATTCTTAATTGTATAATTCACGAAAATAATTACACACCATTTTGAATTAATTAATTAATTATTCTCAAATATTGAAATAGAAATTCAAGAAAGTTGAAATAGATAACAACATTATCTATTATAATGGCAGTATTATTAATTTCTCAACAACTCTTTTATAACAATTAAACAAAGATTGGTTGGGGGTTAGTCTTTAATTGTCAACAAAATTTCAGTATTTAAAATACTTGTTTTGTTCTTATCTTAATTACACCAAGAAACTGTCACATTTGGATTCTGACTTGAAGTGATAAAACCCCAATTAATAACCCCAACAATGTAATAAAAATACAAGACCAAGAACAAATGCAATTCCAATAGTTAATTTACTTACCTAGTATTTTTTGAAAAAAGAAATACAATTTTATCTAAATTTCATTTTTTTCCTTTACTTAGAAAAGAAGAAATTGGACGGATGAGATATAAGATTTTAATTGAAATATTTATTAATGATGTTTTAGTAGATAAAACAGTCTTTATAAAATTTCCATTTTAGTTGAATCTCAAACCCTATTTTTCTATATATAAAAGGGTTCTATGTTCTCCTAACATTAGTCTATTCCAAAGCTTGTTATTCATACTATTCCTACACATACCTCTACTCCCATCCCTATCAATGGAGAACCCACCGCCACCACCACCACCACCGCCAAACCGTAACCCTTTTGAACCTGAATACGAATGTAAATATTGTAACAAAAAATTTAATACCAAACAAGCTTTGGGAGGGCACCAAAATGCCCACAAGAGTGAAAGGACTTTGGAGAGAAGTATGTTAGACTTCTCAGGAACCCATTCTAGATATTATAGTGGGATGGGGCCATTCCCGGGATTTTACAATAGGCCTTTACAGGCCCCACAAATGTTATTCCCGGAAATGCAGGCGATGCCCCCATTACGCCCCCGGGTAGTGATTGTTGAACCACAACTCCCACGGCCGCCACCGCAATTACACAACTTCTTTCCAGGTGCAAGCCCTATGGGTAGTACTTCCGGAGGTAGTAGTAGCGCTGGGGCTCGTGAGGGCAGTGCCCTTGCTGCCCCAGGAAATGATGAGTCAAATATTGATGACTCGGGGCTCGATTTATCTCTTAAGTTATAAATCGGGAAATTGAATGTTTAGATTTTCAAACTTATTATAAAATAGGTTTTATCCAATGTCTTGACTTAATTACTTGCATTCAATTATTTTATGTGTATGAATTCTCTAATGTTTTAATTTCAATTTTTATTTAGAGAGGATTTACATAAATTGTTGGGTTGTTATCTTATTTCATTTTTGCAATATTCTCTAATGGCTTAGATTCAATTATTATGTGTACGAATTTTTCATTTTTCGAATTCATTATTTTCCGCCATAAACATCACTTTTCAACAACCATTTTCCATATAAATCAATTTAGAAATGATCCACATATATTGTTGGATCTGCTCTCTTTGATTATTTATTTATTTTACTGTATTTGTCTTTATAAACATCCCGTATAAAATTCTTCCATTTATATGATCACATCAAACAACAATTTTACCTTATAAAAATATAAAAAATCAAACCACAAATATGCAGGAAATAAAAATATAAATCTATTGACAAGGCGCCATATGAGTTTACACTAAGTATTATAACAAATTAGAATAATAAATCATACCAAAAATATATATATCACTTTTGTAAAACTCAAATGTGAAAATAAAATAAAATAAAAGTAAAAGGTAACACCCTCCTATCTCAGGGATAACTCGACCACAAAATATAATGAATTTCGATTAACCATATCAAATATAAGAAGCATATATTTTATGTTTAGAAAAAAAAAAAAAAAAAAAAGCATTTTGATTCCTTATAATCATAAGAATGCTTTTCAATATCTATAATAATAATAATAATAATAACAATAATAATCATCTATCTATGATTGTATGTGAGCCTACTAGGAATGAATTTGTATTTGGCATAAAATATAGTTATTTAATTTTGTTACTGGTTAATAATGTACATATTAAAAAAAAAAAGAAAGAAAAATAAATATATATATATATATATACAACTTATTCAATGACTATTGGGTGCTGGTGAATTTTTATTCACTCTTTATTATTGGGTTTCTACATAGAAGACATATACTGGGCAACAGATTTTTTTTTTTTTTTTTCTCCACAATTAAAATATTTTTCTTTTTTCTCCACAATTACAAGTTTATACCCTTAATTACATATAAGATTGTAGTCTAATTGAAATTATTATTTAGATTGTGGATTTCATTAGATTAATATTTTTTTTTTTAGTTATATTGCCTTATTTAAAATTAAAAATTTATTTTCACATTATTCAAAAATTCATTATTTGAAAACTCAAATATGGAAATAAAATAAAAGTTAACATCATCCTATTTTATGAATATCTTGTATGCTTGTTTGACGTGGCCGTTTTATTTTTTCTTGAATCAGTCGTATCATTTATTTAAAAATAAATTATGTTAAATGATGTTATTAAACTTAAAGAAAATTTTGTATATTTATATATGATAAATGTAATGGTATTTAACTTATAAGTATGTAATAATAATTATTGAACCACAAGAAATATACGTTGAACATCTTGCTGTAATTTTATTTTTTTTTTTATGCTAATTGAATGACATCCAAAGTCAAATATTTCTATTTTCATACTTATAATCTTAGCTGCTGATCGAATTATTGGTAGTGACATTATTGAATATGCTAGATCTTAGATCTCGATAATTGAATTGATTTAGTAAATTTACAATGATATTAATCAGAATTTATAATGACAAAGATATCCAAAGAATAATCTTGACTTTTGTATAATAAGTCTAAAAGAGAAATTATATTTATACTTAAGGTGTAATGTTTTTTTATTATTATATATTTTAATGTTTTGTTTTAAAAATTTTAATATTCTTAAAGTGATCATAACCATTACATATAATATTTTATTATGTACAATAAGTTTCACTTAAGATGTTATATTCATATATATATATATATATAATATTGGTAGAATTTGAATAATGTGAAAATAAATTCAAATTTTTAAATGAGCTACGATTAAATAGAAAAAGATAAATATATATAGATATATATATATATAATTGGTTCTTTTGATAATATTAACCGAAGTCCAGCTAAGTTTGTATTTAATCTATTGGGGCAATGTAGTTTATTCTTAATTATATTATACACTCCCGCCTTCCTTCCCCCTCCAAAAAGAATATAAAAAACAAACACAAAATCCAACTATTTTAAAATAATTATTTATGTTCAAATATTTAAAGTGAAATTTTGGTCACCGTTAACCTCTTTCAATAAATTGAGTTTGTTCTTTTATAATTTTAAATTAAAATGAACGTTATTTATTTTATAAATTTCAATTAATGTAAGTTATTTTTTCTCACAAAATATCGCATTAACATATATTTAAACAAAAATTTAATTCAACGCCTTATTTCAAAAAAATTTCATATCACAATCAAACAACCCCAAAACATCTAAAGATACTGTAACTAACTTTTAATAATAGTATATAAAAAATAAACCCAAAAAAAAAAAAAAAAAAGCTAGATGGACATTAGTCTTTAATTGTCCACAACATTCGATATTTCAAAATACAGAGGTGTATTTATTTTATGAAATAGTTTGAAAGGGGTATTTTTCTACATGAGGTATATAGAATTGTGTATGGAATATAAGAATAATGAATGTGTGTAATATATTAATTTTTTTAGGGTAGTTTAGTTTCAACGGGAATTTTATATTTGAACTTTTTAGGGTTTTTTAAATTTTGAATATTATTTTAAAGAAAAAATTTTATTATTAAAATCTACTAAAATTAGGGTAGTGTAGTTTCGGCGGAAAATTTTATATTTTATTTTTTTTAGGTTTTTTAAGCTTTGAATTATATTTCAAAGAAAAAAGAATTATATTAAAATTTTTAAAATTTGGGTGGTGTAGTTTCGGGGGAAAATTTTATATTTGAATTTCTCTAGGTTTTTTAAGTTTTGAATTTTATTTTAAAGAAAAAATATTGATTTTTTTTAATTAGGGTAGTGTACTTTCAGCGGGAATTTTAAATTTGAAATTTTTAGGGTTTTTTTTAAATTTTTTTTTTTAAAAAAAAAAGAATTTTAATATTGAATTTTATAAAATTAGAGTAGTGTAGTTTCGGCGAAATTTTATATTTGATTTTTTTAGGATTTTTAAGTTTTGAATTTTATTTCAAAGAAAATAATTTCATACTACCTCCGTCCAGCCAGGAATTAAACACATGATTTTGCACTATTGTATTTAACATTAAAAATATCATTATATTTGTATAATTTACTCCAAAAATATGATTGTAGCTGTATTATAAGAGACTAATAGATGCATTTTTGTCATTTTCTCTTTATTTGTACTATGATTTGATATAATAATTAATATTTAAAGATCTAAAAAAAAAAAATCACTGCATACTTTATGGTTGTACGGAGGTAGTATTAAAATTTTTAAAGTTACGGTAGTGTAATTAGGATGGAAATTTTAGATTTGATTTTTTATAGGGTTTTTAAGTTTTGAAATTTATTTTAAAGAAAAAATAATAATATTTTTAAACTATTTAAAATAAAATTGAAACTTTATAGAATAAAAGTGACCAAAAATATATTTTACCTCTAATTTAATTACTTATTAAATTTATTATTTAAATTATATGTATATTGTAACAATTTAATCAATTATTATGCATATATTTTTACACATTAAATAAATTATAAATATATATCTAAATCAAATCAAAATCGAATTACTAATAAAAATCAAAATCAAATTAGTTAATTTGTAGGGAACTTAAATTGTTTAATAGGTTCGAAATTTCCAAAACTAATGATAATAGGTTCGGAAGGTCCGAGACTAATAAATATTCGGTATTTCCAAGACTATATTAGTCTCGAAAATTTCAAAACTAATTACAATACGTTCGAAAGTTCCGAAACTAATAAAAGTTCGATATTTCCGAGACTATATTAGTCTCGGAAATTCCGTAGCTCATTACAATAGATTCGGAAATTCCGAGACTAATAAAGGTTTGGTATTTCCGAGACAATATTAGTCTTGGAAATTCCGAAACTAATTACAATAGATTCGGAGTTCCGAGACTTTAATAGTTAGATTCGAAAGTTCCGAGACTTTAATAGTCTCCAAAATTCCGAACCTATTATATATAGTCTCAGAAATTCCGAACCCTTACTAGTCTCGAAACTTCCGAAACTAATTACAATAGATTTGGAAATTTCGGAACTTTTCCGTGACTAAAAGTCTAGGAATCTCCGAGACTAATCAAAATAGCTTTGGAAATTCCGAGACTGATAAAAAGTCTCGGAATTTCCGAAACTAATTAAACTAGGTTCGGAAGTTCCGAGACTAAAAGTCTCGGAACTTCCGAGATAAATCAAAATAGGTTCGGAAGTTCCGAAACTAATCAATATAATAAATTATATAATTAATATAGGTTCGGATTTTTAAATAGTATCGGAAATTTCGAGGCGAAAAACAATTAACTGATTTAATATTTATTATATATATTTTGATAGTTTCGGAATTTATTCCAAAACTAATTCCGAGGCAAATAAAGGTTTTTTTGGTAGTGAAAAGCATATTAACACCGTAATGAAAATTTTGTATACCGAAAAATTGGTTTGAAAAATTGTATATACTGATAAACATTGCCGGATGTAAATTCGCGTGCATGATATACCTTGGTACTTCCGTGCATTTCTCGGTGTGAGTACGATTTTGGTATACCAAATTTTTTGTACGGTATATATACTTTATCATACCCAAATTCTAAAATTAAAAACAATAATTTTGGTATCAGTACACCGAATTCTAAATATATGTTGATATGCTAAATACCGAAATATCAAAAAAATATACGATATTTTTAGTATATATAGAAATATCATATATACTAAAAATGTCAAATTGTAGACAATGATTTTACTGAAAAAATCGATTATGATATCAGACTGTAGCGAATTTGTAGTATACCAAAATATTTATAAAAAAATAATAAATATAAATTTTTTATATACTAATTAAAAAAAA